ATACTGTATATGCTGAAGTATATAAAGCTGAAGAAAAAGAAGATAGAAAAAGAAAAAGCTGGGTCAACAATGCTAAGGATTCGAACCTTAGACCTTGAAACTTCGCCATCAGCCTTACCAGCTGCACAGGGGACGAATAAATGTGGGTCGATATCAGTTCTTGAGGATTCAAACCTCAGATTTTGCAATATCGATATTAAATGCTCTACCTGCTGAGCTGAGAAAAAAATGTGGGTCGACCTTTGTAAGAATTTACAAGTTAACAGTGTGAAATGAAAAGTTCTGGTCGATTTTTCATAAGGATTCTAACCTCAGATCCACTGATTTTGCTGTCAAAAAACATTCATGCTGAAGTTAATACAAGCTATGCACAAATAGAGGAAGAAAAAAAGAAAGGTGGGTCAACAATCATAAGGATTCGAACCTTAGACCTTGAAACTTCGCCATCTGCTTTACCGGCTGGGCAGAGGAAGAAGAAATCTGGGTCGACCTCAGTTCGTGAGGATTCAAACCTCACTGAATTCAACATCTCTACAAAATGTTTTTACAGCTGAGTAAAAGGACGAACTTTTGAGTTAACTTACGTGAGGATTCAAACCTCAGACTTTGCAAGATCGGTATCAAATGCTCTGCCAGCTGAGCTGAGAGAAAACTGTGGGTCGACTTTTGTATGAAATTACATGTTAACAGTGCGAAATTATAATTTCTGGTTGACATCTGTGAGGATTTTAACCTCAGATCTACCGATTATGCTCTCAGATACTCAACCTGCTTAATTATACAAAACTAATTCAGTGATTGTTCTTAGCTCACACTGATGTAAGCACTGTATTTTGTCTGTTATTCGAGTGTGTGATCAACAGGTTATACAGAAGCAGTCATTGTTTGGCTGGAATCAACTGCCTGATCAATTGAAGTCAGCGATCTACTGGACCAAGCCACAGGGTCTTACACGTAATGAGAGTTGATCAGCTGTTCAGGTATGAGATCAGAGATATCGAGAATTTATGTAGTATTACTGAGCTTTTTTAAGTCATTAAATGCGTTATCTTTAAGTAAATATATAAAGCGTGACTGAAATTATGAATTCAACGTGGTGGAGAACTGCACGTATATTGCAGCCACAATCATGAAATGCATAACCAAATAACTAATATAAAATAAAATTTTCTGTTTCATTACAGCTGGTCTAAGTATCTCAAAAGTAAACTGAGGAAAAAGATCTAAACTTCAAAGAAAAGTTGGCACACCATTCAAACCTTGTCTGACGATTGCAAACTTCTTCGAACTTCTTGAAGCTAGGTGAAGGTGTTGGGAAGTTGTTTCCTCCAATATTAGGTGGTTATCAACAGTGAACCAGGTTAAAAGTTACGGTGTTGGGGCATCGAGTGTTTGTCAACAAGGAAGCAGTTTAAAAGTTTTGATGTCAATGCATCCTGTGCTTGTCATTAAGGAAGCAGTATAAAAGTTGTGTTGTCAATGCACCATGTGTTTGTCGACGAGGAAGCAGTTTAGGAGTTGTGGTGTCAATGCATCACGCGTTCGTCAGCAAGGAAGCAGTTTAAGAGTTGAAGTGTCAATGCATCATGCGTTCGTTGACAAGGAAGCAGTTTGAGAGTTGTGGTGTCAATGCATCATGTGTTCGCTAACAAGGAAGCAGTTAAAGAGTTTTGATGCCATTGCATCATGTGTTCGTCGACAAGGGAGCAGTTTAAGAGTTGTGGTGTCGATGCATCATGTGTTTTTTGACAGGGGAGCAGTTTAAAAGCTGTGGTGTCAATTTATCATGTGTTGGGCAACAAGGAAGCAGTTTAAAAGTTATTGTGTCAATGCATCATGTTTTTGGCAACAAGGCAACAGTTTCAAAGTTGTGGTGTCAATGTTTCAAGTATTTGTCGACAGTAAAGCAGTTTAAAAGTTGTGGTGTCGATGCATCACGTGTTTTTCTGTTTTTCGACAGGGAAGCATTTTAAAAGCCGTGTTGCCAATGCATCATGTGTTTGACAACAAGGAAGCAGTTTAAAAGTTTTGGTGTCAATGCATCATGTGTTTGTCGACAGAGAAGCAGTTTAAAAGTTGTGGTGTCAATGTATCATGTTTTCGTCCACAGGGAAGCAGTTTAAAAGTTGTGGTGTCAATGCATCATGTATTTTCGACAGGGAAGTATTTAAAAAGTTGTGGTGTCAATGCATCATGTTTTTGTTAACAAGAAAGCAGTTTAAAAGTTATGGTATCAATGCATCATGTGTTTTACGACAGGGAAGCATTTTAAAAGCTGTGATGTCAATGTATCATATGTTTGGCAACAGGGAAGCATTTTAAAAGTTGTGTTATCAATACATCATGATTTTGGCAACAAGGAAGCAGTTTTAAAACTTGTGGTGTCAATGCTTTAAGTATTTGTTGACAAGGAAGCAGTTTAAGAGTTGTGGTGTCAATGCATCATGTGTTTTACAACAGGGAAGCATTTTAAAAGCTTTAGTGTCAATGCATCATATGTTTGGCAACAAGGAAGCATTTTCAAAGTTGTGTTGTCGATGCATCATGTTTTTGGCAACAAGGAAGCAGTTTAAAAGTTGTGGTGTCAATGCTTTAAGTGTTGGTCGACAAGGAAACAGTTCAAGAATTTTGGTGTCAATGCACCGTATGTTTGTCGATAGGGAAGCATTTTAAAGGCTGTGATGTCGATGCATTGTGTTTTCGGCAACAAGGAAGCAGTTTAAAAGCTGTAGTGTAAACGGATCGTGTGTTCAGCAACAAGGAAGCAGTTTAAAATTTCTGGTGTCTATTCATCTTGCTGTTATCAGCAAATAAGCAGTTTAATCGTTACAGTGTCTATGTATGATCTGATCATCAAGAAGGAAGCAGTCTCTAAAGCCTCAGTGTTTTAATATGCATTATTTACATAGTAAAATTGTAAGTAATAAAATATGTAAATTTGCCTTGAAAAATAAAGGAAAAATAAATCAATCTTAAACTTATAAATAAAAAAATAGTAAATAAATCAAACAAGCAAAAAAACATAAAAAAACTCAACCTTGATCCACCCCCTGTAATACTTCCCATGAGTACCTACCTATTATAAATTTACTTTATTGACTTTATTTTGAGTTTCAAGTCCTCATGATGCTTTAAGCAATAGATGCTTCGACGGAATAATGAAAAAATTTATTACTGGTTTGTTTTATCAGCTCATAAATCGATACCGCAACAGCAATTCTGATCTCTTGTTTTAAAATTTATATCTCAGACATTCTCTTTCGGTGTTCGGAGTTTTATTTCCGATTATCAGCGTTTCATTTTTCCGAATTTCAGCTTCGGACTCTTACATTGTTCTCCGACATTCGATTTCGGAGTCCCGACCATTAATATATATAATTTTCTGACTTCCGGCTTCATAATTTCGACTTCAACTTATCTGCATCGTAATCTCTGACTGAGAACTTTCGAATTCCGTATTTTTGCTACATGTAGACAATCGACATTAATGCTCGATCTTTTTTTTCCGATTTCGACTCTGAAGTGCCATTTTTAACGTCCGCTAAGTTCGAATGTCTAACTTTCTTATTATAGTTTATTGAGTCAGGAATATAAAATCAAAACATGAGGGCATTCCAGTCATTAAATAAGAGAGAACAGCACTAAGATTTGACTCGGGTTTCAACCTTAAACTAATAGTTACTATAACTTCTAATTTCTCCTCACAGCTCCACCCCTGAATTAAAAATTTAAGGCAAGAGAATAAAGGAAATGATCTACAAGTTAAAGAGCTATATTGAAATATTTTGTTAGTCGGTACCATATGGGATGCACTGCGAACACTATATAGAATATGCAGTGATGTTGGGATGTCAAGAGTTAAATAAATAAGCCAACAGTTCGTAAACAGCATGGGAAAAACAGAGTTTTGAGGGTTTTTTTTCTTTCTTTTTTTTAAAGAATAATAAAATAACACTATGTTAGCGTATCGAGTGGTTGGTTGTTTGTCCTAAAAAGCATAGTATTAGGATATGTATCTCGCACCATCAGATCTCTCTTGCCGATCATGTCATGGAATTAGGGAGGGTGCCGCAAAATATTGCAACGGAAGCAACTAAACATTGACAACTAGGAATTGACAAACAATTGTTAGCTAAACTGCCCAGTGTAATTGTTTGTCCTTCATAAAGGCCTCGTCGCTATAATCTTTGGGGGCTGGAAAGTTCGGCAGGAAAATTTTAACCATTTAGAGGTTAAAAATTCTTTTGTGTAACCTTCACTTACAAATCACAAGTCGTCAAAAAAGCTCAACTTGAGTGTTTATTTTGGAAGGGCTAGTTTTGAGATTAGATTTGTGCAAAGCATTTGCATAAATGAGATTGATCGATATTCTTGCTTCCGCCTCGTGGTTGCTCTTTTGTCGAAGGTTGAAAAGATCAGAAGCTATATTTTCTTTTGCTTCTACTGCCATTTCAAAAGTCCGTTTCTTTGCTTTCAAGGGAAAACGATTAATGAAATAATCTAAGATACAATTTTCACAGCAGTTGCCGTGACATTGAAAATTACTTCACCATGGCCTCTCGCCCGTGCGTAGAAGAATCAAGTAAATGTGGATGAAAGAGAAAACTTTGATACTTAGTATTGAAGAAAAAAACTAAATTTTCCTAAAGCAACCCTTGAACGTGTGGCAACAAAAGCCAAAACATAACTTGGCAGCTTCAATACTCAATCGGAACATCGAGCGCTCGCTTGGCGGAAAATACGCCTGCCACTCGGGCTAATACGCTTTACAGGCTGAGATAGAAGTTATTTGGTTTCTGGAGCACACATCTATAGATAAAGAAATTCAAGAACCTTTTGAAGTGAAACATAGGCCAATTTTATTTGTCAGATTTTTTGCTGAGTTTTAATGCGTTTAAAGTCAAGTGAACTATTTCAATAATATATACACGCGGCACATCACTCGTCTCACAACTAGCGTATATATTTAAGTTTCCTGTTGGACGTAGATGACAAAAACATGTGAGTTGTTGTGAACGATTTCATTCTTAATGCAAGTCCACGTTATGTTAGAATTCATAAGCAAATACAAACCAAGCCTGTCGCCCCCGTATTAATTTGTTATTTTAATTCTTTAACTCCAATATCAGGACTTCTGATATTCCCTTTAAAACGTCTAAATTTCGTTGAAAGTAGCTTGGAGATTTGATGTTAAACCAGGACGCCCTTCGTATTAATATATTTGTCTATTATCAGTACCATTTGGTTGGATAATGCATTGACACTGTACGAAGGAGTTACGTAAACACTATATAACGATTACGTCTTACAGTTAGAAAAACGAGAACTGAATCACCGATTACGAAGAGGTGAGTCGTCCTGGTTTGAACTGTTCGAATTTCGGCAAAATACGATCTTCATAATACCTTGTCTTAATTCTGGCAATCGCATGGCGTAGATTATAGGATTTATCAGCGAGTTGGCGAGGTATAACACCAATACACCGCTGTACATGTGAAAGGCTAGTCGTTGGTTGAGCTTTTTAAGTAACTGGGGATTAAAACTGTTTAGGCTTCGCCCAATTATCAATGGAAACCAAGTCAGTATGGAGGCAAGAGTCACCATAAATAACGTACTCGTTAATTTCCTTTCCCTCACACTTGCTGCGCCCTGATTTAGCAAACGATGACCAAAACGGACTTTGTTAAAAATCAAGATGTAAGAAACAGAAATTACAAAAAGAAGAACAGAAAAAAACGAAAAATACATAGTGTGGCGGCCTTTAGTGCCTATATCTTTTCCCACCAGTGCAGCAGTCGCAGACATCAACCAAGTTACAGTAACTATAACTCCATAGACCCATTTCTTAACGGCATGATACTTGAAAGGAAAAAACGTTGCATGTGCCCGCTCTAATGAAATAACAGCGAGATTCAAAAGCGATAAATAAGGGAGAGACTGCCCCAATGCTATTGTTAGATAAGAGTACTTCTCAGACCAGACTGCCCTCTCCCACAGGTTACAGGTAGCCCCAACCCGTTGAATAAACGTAGGACCTGCCACTGCCCCTACTAGGAGATCGACGATCGCCAGGTGGATGATCAGGCATGTACCCCTGCGCTGCAGGTGGTGCTTCTTCAAGAGTACAGCAGCACTAGCGGTATTTAGGATGACTATAGCCAAGCATTCCGTGATGAGCAGGACGAGCCACGGAATACACTCGGATGGGAGATACGACATCCATTTCTCGTCGCTTGTGTTATTACGAGTACTTTCTACGGTGCTGTTAGCCATTGTGTTCTTTTCTGTGTTGGTAATCCACTGCATGAACTAGATAAGGGAGGAGGACAAAAATAAATAATTAAGAAAGAGAGTTACTTATTCAAGTGTTGTGAGTTGAACAAAATAATTTGAAATGTTTCTGTGTCATATTACGTACCTTTAGGTAAAAGAATATCCAACTGGTTGAACAGAATCAAACAATTCAGCTAGCAAAGTATAGCGGAAAAAGCTAAATGACAGTCGGTCAACCTGCCAATAATGACTCAATTCGTTAAGTGTATTGAAATTATAAGATCGCACAAAGCCAAGTCAACTCGTCGTTAACACAATTTCTTCTTACCTCTCTCGGGAGAGCATGAAAATCAGCTCTCAGTATTTAAATTCTTTTATATACAAAAGCAACCTGATCATAATGTATGCTTGAGAAAAGACACGACACTTTGTTGACGCAGACGGCTGAATATCCTTTCAGGTCTTATAATAACAACTCTCAAGATGTCAGAAATCTAACCACAATCCACAAGTAGTTACAAGAAGTCATCCGCCAAATGTTGGTTTATCAACCGGCCGGTGCTGTTTCCTGTGTGTGCCAGATCTTATCATCATTGGACAATTTCGCTTGCATTAAGAGGCCTCCGTCTTTTCCCAAATTCACCTTCAATAATTTGTTAATTTCATTTGTTTGCAGGAATAGAAATGTGATAGACTTAACTTTCAATGCTTAACTTTCAAACGATGCTCCCATGCAAATCAAGGTCATTACTCATGTAAGTTTAAGAAAATGCAGGTACGTGAAGACACAGGGCGAATATAAGGCATGATATATTAATTTCAGCTCTTTATATCGCCATTATTATTTCCAGATACAACATATCAGGGAAAGTGACACAAGGGTGTCATCAAAAGCTATTATCGATAAATATGCAATTGGTTAATACTCGTTGAGTAATCAAGTAATGACCGACTACGAAGTATTTTGTCAATGTATTCAATCCTCTTTGAAATCCCCTTCTTTTACAAAAAGCAGAAGAACAGATAGTTAGGTGAGTTGGAATCTTTATCCATTTAACAATAAAGAATCCCCCAATATGAAATTTGATTACAAATTTTTGTGTTGCACTTTGGACATAAATATCAGTTATGTAACTCAAAGATTTATTTTCATCTCCAAATTTCATCTCAGACGTGACTTATCCAAGGTCGGTAACATCAGTGGGTTAAACTTATGGATAATGTATGAGAGTCAATATTAAGAAAAATATGAACAGATTTTTGTCCGCGGAGATTAATTATCATTTGTTCCGAGAGGTAAACTGTCCTCCAAGAGCGAAGCTCGAGCAAAAAGTGTAAGCTTCGAGGAACATATCATTCTCAAGGAAAAGTACACGAGTATAGGAAAGTTTTGCGCCAACTGGAGGTTATTGTGCTTATTATCCTTTCAATATTTTGCACGGGCGTGAAAAAATTTTTACGAACAGTTTATCGGCATTTGCTGCGTGAGATGTTTCAGTGTTTTCTGTTACGTCTTATCTTCTGTAACAACCAAAAGACGCCCTCTCATCTTGAATTAAGTTTTAAACGAGGACCTATGGTAGTGGATGTAAGGTTTGAAAATTGGGAGATGACACTTAATCAGGGTATATATCTTCGGATATTCGCCAGCTTATTTATTTATTTTCTTTTTAGTTTCAGAACAAGATGCGTAGAAAAATTTTATTATTTAATGTTTTCATTCGAAGCCGTAACATATTTTTCTCATATTTCTGTAGTTTGTTAGTTTATGTCAACACATTCATAGCATGGTCTACGTATTCACCAAAATGTCATATTTCGACTCAGTTTGCCTGATGTTACTGAGTTCCCCTTTCATAGTCCATTTCCATGCATAACTATCCCAGATAAGCGAAAAAAGGCGAACACAGAAACTGTGGGCCTCGGCTTCGTTGTTTAAAGTCCATGCTAGGAACTCTGCCTACGCTAAGCTTCTAGGAAGACTGCACGCTCAAAATGTGTCGATTTTTGGTTTGCTCAGTCAGATCAAAGTCTCAGCAATCAATGCATAGTAACGACGGACTAAAACTGACGAAAGCAATTTAACGGCATCCAGTTTTTTCTAGCACTCAATCTTATCAAATTAAATGTTACTTGAATTCTGGTAGTTTTGGCAAACAAAGGTCAACTAACTAGTTTTTTTACCCTGTGATAATCCTTTCTACAACTCGCTTTACTGGAATGTCGCGTCGTGATTTGGAAATATTCACGAGCGTATTTCCTACAGGACTTTTATGAACTGGCAGTTGGGATATATCCTAATTGTCCTTGCAAAATAAAAGAAATCGCAAGAATAGATATTCAGGAAAGACCTTTTTCAATTTTTACCCCGTTCTGACGAGAAATCGCTGAGTTGGCAGATCGTGATAGATTAAATCTGATTCCACGGAATTTCTTCGAAAAGGTTACTCGCGGCTAAATTGCATACTGTGTGGGGTTGTACTCGAGACGTTTTTGGTGAGTTTTATAGTGTAAGGGTTATAAAATGGTAATCGAAACAGAGCTAACGTAATGGTATATCGCTCGGCTTTGAACAGTTTGAAGTTCGGCGGAAGTTGATTTCCATGACATTTCGCCTTGTTCTAGTACCTGCATGGCATAGATAATAGGATTTATGAGCGAGGTGACCACGAATAATACTACTGCTGTTCTTCCAATACGTAATGATAGCCGCCAAATAATATCGTTGGCGAACTGGGGATGAAACATGAAAACACCTAGTTGTATCGTCAATGGAAAATAAGCAGTTAAAGATCCAATTATCACAGTAAATAACGTAATCGTCAATTTTTTTTCCCTCGCACCTGCTGCGCTATTGGAATGCATATGACGATTAGAGCGGACTGTGATAAAAACGGAAATGTAAGAAACAATAGTCATAAAAAATAGAATGAAAAACGAAGAAAAAAAGCATAATATAGTGGACAATGATAGTGACCGGGAAACATCGACTTCCTGCTACCCCGGCTAATTTAATAAACCAAATGAAATGATTATAACTCCATAAACCTATTTCTTAATGAGGCATTGCTTGAATGAACAAATTGTGGTATGTGCCCTTTCAAGTGAAACTGCAGTGAGGTTTACAAGCGAAGCATTAGGGAAGACAGCCCTTAACACCACTGATGGTAGATGGATTTTCTGAGTGTATTCCCACAAATCACAGACACTCCCTACCCAAAGAATATCCAAAGGGCCTGAAACTGTCCCAGCCAAGAGGTCAATTATCGCCAGATGGATAACCAAATGTGTACTCCGACGCTGAAGCTGGCGCTGTTTCACAAATTCAATAACGGCGATCAAATTAAGGAAGTTTATGGCTAGATATTCAGTGATGAACACGACGAGCTAAGGGATATATTGTGATTCTGAAGGTATTAGCTCCTTCCTCGTGTTTGTCCCGATACTATTGACAGTGTTGCCAGCCATTGGGGTCTCGTCCGCCATTGTGCTGGACGAGATGTCTTGGATATCTTTTGCAATAAAATCGTGATGTTAAACAAAACGTTTTGAGGTTTTTCTTCAGGATATTATCCTCACCATAGCTTTTCTCATAGTTTTTACAAGACATTGAGCAAGACCGAACAGAAAACGTATTTTAAACGATTAAAGATAGTCAATTTACTCAGCTGCAAAACTGTTAATGGCGGCAACAGGATTTCAATCCAACCAGAATCGGTTTAATCGCTGAAGTAAGAAGGTCATGTTGTTTAGTGCACACCCAACTAATGACTTAATTCTTTTATTTGAGTGGTTACATCCAGTCTGCTTCAAATATCTTAATATGGAAAACCCAAATTGATATACAGCACGCCGATAAAATAGCTTAAGAAGTTTATGACGTAAGTATTTAAAAGATCGAAGTCACGAGGTAAGAGGCTCAATATTCTCAGAAAAAGCCGCAAGGAGTACTTTTGAGTTATAAAGTGTCGGTAATTCCCGGATCTTGCTCGATATTTACGCTCTGCTGATGCGCCACAAAGTCCGGCAGTGATTGAAGCGAGCTCTAAATGTAACTGATTAGCCTTCCCTTTTCCGAGCAAGTCTTACCTACCTTTCTAAAAATTCTTACATAACAGACGTCTTGCTTACATTTTTTTACAATATAGGCAGCAACAAAGGTCGGGCATAAATGACGCGCGTCTAGATTATACATTTGTTTTTTATCAACACAATTATCCTCATATCGAGTCACTCGCGTTAACATTGAGTAACATAAGTTCGTTACGTCACCAAAGCCACGCGACGTTTTGTGTCAGTGAACTCTACCATGCAGGCGAAGGTGAACAGTGGAAATCCGCAGACGCACGCAGTTTTTTTCCTGCTCCGTAGATGCGACGTTATTTTCTTTCATTACATAATTTGCGGCGGAAAATCCCTAATTAATAACACACGTGTAAAAATACGATATTTTTCAAGTATGTTTGACATCGCCAATCAGCTGTTGAAACGTCACACATTTCTTGCCACTCTGTCAGGTTGATGAATGTATGGTCAAGCCTTTACCATTCTTAAAACAAGGTCGTTTGCGATACGTACATCTAGAGTTTTAGCGAGTACTACGTGGGCGCGGGTAGATATGGAATTTCTCTTCTCGTGTTCAATTTGGAGGACAATTATCGAAGTACACGGGGGTTATGCAAAATGACTGTCCTGTGATTTTGCACCAAGTGACACAAAGTGACCAATATTATTCCGCAAATATTAATGGATGAATTATAAAACTCGTTTAGTTACTTTAAAGGAAATGTCTAGCCTTGTCTATCCTCCTTTCTCGTTCAACGTTTAAAATCAAAGCGTAACATTGAACGGGGGAAGAAGAAGGGACAGTAAATATTTCAGGAATAAATTTATTTTAAGTTGTTCCAGAATATTGCGAATTCAGAGAGTTATGGAATATATATCAATTTCGGTTAAGTTATTCACGGATAGCCTCTGGAACGAAAGTCTGTTTCCCAAAACGATCACATGAAGGCTAACATCTATGTA